CCGGCCAAGTTGGCCTGGGATTAAGCGCTCGCAGCTCAGTCTCTGCCGTGTCCTGTTGTGAAAGCATGAAAGTCCGGAATAGTTACTCTGGGTCCTGTTTGTTTGCTTCGCCCTGTCGTAAAGGCCGGGTGCCCTTGCTGGACGAATGAGAGGGCCGCGGCCTTGGTTGGATGTGCTGCAGGCTTTTGGGCTGTGTGGGCTTGGAGTGGCTGGTTTTCCTTGTCTTAGATGGTTTCTAGCTAAGCAATTTGGGAACTTTGGGATCGGAACCAAATCCACAAGAAGATAGATATTTTTTGCAGCTTAACATGCTTAGAAAAGATTTCTGTTATAAGCAGGATTTTCCTCTGTGTTCTTTAAAATATATATATTTTTATTTGTTTCAGAGAGGAAGAGATGGAGAGGAACATCAGTGATGAGAGAGAATCATGGATCGGCTGCCTCCTGCCACCTGAACCTCTATTCTGGGTCCTCACCTTTGGTTTTGTGCAGTGTCTACCCCACAGCTCTCCTTTCTCATCCCCAGAGTTTGGGGGCGGAGGAGGGGTAGCAGGGGACACAATCCAGCATTTAAAAAAAATATTTTTTTCTCACTCCAATTCTGAATCAAGAAGCTAGAATATTTTTCCCCTCCTTAATTAATTTTAAGAAAGGAGCCAGCAGCTTCTCTTGGCAGTGGGGGAACTGGTGAGGGTGGCATTTGATTACAATCCTGTAATATTTTTCTCTCCACAACATGGAGATGAAAAGGTCAGGTTGTGGAGTGGGATGAACACATGCCAGTGGACCTGATGCCCACCAGATTGTATCTCAGGGGCAGTTCTTTCACGCCCGGATAGAGCTCTGTTGGGAGTAAGTGGCCGGCTTCGTGAGGGAGGCGTGGGCACGAATGGGCATGGAGCTTGGACATTTTCCTGCTCAGGAAACATGGCTGCGATCCTTGAAGTCCTAGGCCTTGTGCCCTGTTCACTTCCTATTCTCGGCATCTAGCAAGCGCCTGGCATGTCGTAGGTCGTGCGTTATTAACCTACTTACGCCTCACTGCAAACCTACGTGGTCATTGTTTACCGTAGTAGGTTCATAGGAAAGAAAGGGTATTGTTAGTGTTTTTGCTGCTCTCTGTACCTGTTGTCACCTGCCCTACGTTGAAAAGTGACCATTTGTGTGGCTCCGTGGTGCTGATGTCTGCGTGCCTCCATAGTTAACTTTATGCTGTTCAGTCGTATGGTGGGATAGGGTAGCATTTATCACCAGCTCTCCTGGCCCACAGCGAACTTCTTTGCTTATTTTATTATTTATTTATTTATTTAAAATATTTTTTATTTGAGGAGACAGACAGACAAACATTGATGTGAGAGAGAAACATGGACGAGTTGTCTCTCATATGCACCTCATCCACGGACCAAACCCGCTACCTAGGTATGTGACTGGTAATCAAACCGTTGTTTGTTTTAAATCTAAGAAACTTCAAATGGATATCTCCGCATATGTGTCTGTATTTTGCTCTTCATGAAAATCTCTAATAAATATATCGAATAAAAGCATACTTTGATGATATCTTCCCTGTCACACGCAGTGCAGGCTGCTGCACACTCTAGGATCTCAGTATGTGTAGTTGATTGACTTACAGCCGCCTCACGTCCGGCTGGCAGATGTCATTGCAAATCCCTCCCCAGCCTGGGCTGGGCCGTCTCCCTGAGCATGGAGACGACCCTTCCCTGGCTTTGCAGAAACGCTCCGGAGGCTGAGGATGAGGACGGAGGCTGAGGATGAGGACGGCTCAGGCTGGGCTCCTCCCACTCCTCCTCCTCCTCCGATGTGAAGTTCCTGCAGGAGGACCGAGTGACAAAGTCCTTGTCCTTGTCCGCCCGTCACAAGGGCTTTGTAACCGCCACCTGGTCTTTGCCGTCCGCAGGTGGAGTTCGAGTGGCTGAGACAGTTTTGGTTCCAAGGCAGTCGACCCCGGAAGTGCACCGACTGGTGGTGCCAGCCCATGGCTCAGCTGGAGGAGATGTGGCGGAAGATGGAAGGGGTGGTAAGTCCGAGGGGCCCGCCGCCAGTGTCCCGGGAGGCGCGCGTGTAAATTCTCCGCGGCCCGATTTGCATCGGTGAATCCACGTGTCACTCTTCCAGATGACTGAGTTAGGCTACTTTCGGGAAGGTAACGGGACAGCCAGGACCTCGTCAGTGTGACCTCGGTTCAGTGGAATGAACGTCCTTTGAACATCTCCTTCCCATAAGGCACTGTGTTAGACACTTGAGGAAGTAAGGATGCGGGAGAACAGTGTAACAGCAGCACCTAAAATGTATCTGCCCTTTATGTGCACAAGCGTCATTCAGAGGGGTTTCCCTCTATTAACTTTTAAGCGTCTTCCAACAGTCCGTGAGCCACAGAACTGGTGAGCCTTAATGTCTAGATGGGAAAACTGAGGCCTAGAGAAATGAGTGCCTCGCCCAAGGTCCCCTGGCGCCCAGGGTCCCCAGCCAGCGGCCTTGCGGGATGGAAACCCCGGCAGCCCTGCTCTGCAGCTTGTGCCCGGAACCATCCCCTGGGGTGGAACACGGAGGGAGATGTGGGTAGTGCCAGGTGTTGCATTAGCTTACCCTGTGATAGAGGTTTTCTGAAGATCACAGACCACAGACCAGAGGCGGGGGGAATGGATTCAGACCACGGGGACTGGCACTGCTATGAAATGGCTGATGTGGCTTTTGGGGGGCTTGGATGGGGAGGCATAGGGTCAGATCCGGCACGTGGAGGGGAATTCAGGCTCCAGCAACTGCACAAACAGATCAGAAGTGGGAGTGTGTGTCGGGGCGCGAGGGGCGGGGGGCGGGAGGGAGGCAGGTGCATGAGACAAGGAATTCAGGGGTCGTGGTGGGAAAGGTAGCGGGAAGGTGTAGAGGCCGAATGGAGGGCTTGAATCAGGTCTTCATTGAACTAATAGTAATCATAGCAAATACGTGCATAGCAAATCACTAATAGTAATGATAGCAAATACGTGCATAGCAAATCACTAATAGTAATCATAGCAAAAACCGAGGCCACACATACTAAGTACGGGCCACTTCTAAATGCTTCACACATAACCTATTTAACTTGGAGGACAGCCCCATAAGCAGGTGTCACTTCCCTCTGTGTGACAATCGAGGAGACCAAGCACAAAAGGGCCACAAGGTCATTGACTCCAAGTGGGGAGCTGGGTTTGAACTCGGGGAGGCCGGCTCCAGGGTCATGCCCTTCAGCGCCTCACCGTCCCGCCTCCGTGCAGTGGAACTCGGAGTGCAGCGGGAGAGGGACAGATAGCGCCCCTGCACCGACTATGAACTGTGCCGGAAACAGTGAACTCACCTGCAAAAACGGGTCGCGATTGCTAACCTCCATTTGCTAATCACGAAGATAGCACGTCACCACCCTGGAGGGGCCCCGGGGGGAAGGCCTGGGTCAGAATCCAGAAGTCCCTGCTTTCCAGACGGCCCCTCAGATCCGTACACCGGGCTTTCCGGGGAGGGCTGTCTGGGGGAAGGGGTGCAGTAACCCTGCTCGTGAGCACTGAGAGCGTCACAGACATGAGGCTCTCGGAAGAAAGGAACCCGTTCAAAATGGGGCGTCGTAAACCCGAGCTGGAGGTGATGAGAAGTCCGTGCCTCCGTCTCCTCCCGAGTTCTGTGGGTAACATTAGCCTGTGTAGCCTGCGCTCGGTTTCTATGGGATGGGTATGTTTATGGGGTGGATATTTTTATGGGGTGGATATATAAAGGCAGCTTCACTTTCAGGCCTTTTAAAATTTTTTTTATTATTTTTATCCTGGCTTCATCCGTGTACATCCGAGTTTGAACTTCTTTATTTGCTGAACCTTGACTCTGAGACTTCAGTTTGGCTTTGGGATTGTAAGCGGACAACTCCGTGAATTAGAATTGGCGGATGAATAAGAAAGGAACGCACTGATTTTTTTTTTAACGATAGCTTTATTAATTTCAGAAGGGAAGGGAGAGGGGGAGAGAGAGAGAAACATCAATGATGAGAGAGAATCATGGATCGGCTGCCTCCTGCACGCCCCTCACTGGGGATCGAGCCTGCAACCCAGGGAATTGAACCCTGACCTTCTGGTTCACAGGTCGATGCTCGACCACTGAGCTACTACGCCGGCTGGGCAGAACTCACTGATTTTGTTCAAAATGTTTTGCAGTTGCTTTTGCTCAAGATTTTGTTTTTTAAAGTAAAATCTTTGGCCTTGTGAGCTTGCCAGTAATGGCTCCTGGTGAATTCATCTAAGAAATTCCGTTAGGATGGTTGTATTTTTCAATTTTGAGGCGATGCCGCATGAGGTGGAGTATCTGCTGTGTACTTTATAAGGCTCGTGTAGAAGACACTAAAGGAGAAGAGCAGTCCTGGGACTAATCCAGGCGAGCTCCCCGCTGTGGGCGTGGCATCGCCGAGCCTTCCCAGGGTGATGAATGGTCCCAGTGTCTACCTCAAGCCCCAGGACGATCATGATCAGCAGAGGGGAGGTTGGGGCCGAGATAAAAGGGACGGTCCTTCTAAATTAAATCGAAGCGTTGCCTCCAGCCTTTTTTAAAATGACTTTGAACAGATTCATAATAACTTATTTTTGCGGTTAGAGGAGAGTGATCCTTGGAAACGTCCACGCTTCCGTGGTTCTGTTTGCGCAGGACCATCTGGTATCTGTGTACTTGGCCCTGGCCCGTTGGATTCCTGCTTTGCACCCAGCCCGCCTCCTCTTTTCCAGTGGCAAGCAGTAGGGGGCAATGTTGAGCTACCAGTCGGAGGCCCCCAGATGCTGCTGGCCTTTCAGGAAAATGCATAGGAATGTACCAGTAACTGTCAAGAATTATCCCTGTTGCTCCACGTTAGCTGTAATCTCCCAGATTCCATAACACAGGAAATCAGTTGTGGGTTAACAAATTCAACAGCAATTTAACATAAAAAGTGCAGAGTTTGGTGCACATTTGGATCCTATAGAATTAGACTAATCGAAACGGCATTTCTGAGCGCGCTCACGTGGCTTCCAGGGAATATACTCGTCAAACTTATTATCCTTTTAGGCAAATGATTCTTCTTTATCTTTATGCTTTTTTTTTTGAATCGTAAAATCACGTGTGTGTGTGTGTGTGTGTGTGTGTGTGTTGTGGAAAGACTTCTCTGATTAACATGGCATGGGTCTCTTTCGGCGAGAAAATAAAACAGAAAACCCCAGGCCATGTGTATGTTACGGCTCCCCTCTGCTTGCAGTCAGGCCACCTCGGGCAGCCCTTGTGTCAGCGAAGAGCCTGGCGCTGGAATTTCTCTCTGTCTTTGTGTCCTTTTCCCCCCCAACTTTGTACCTGTCCTAACCCGTCACCTGTTTCAGAAAGTCGAGTCAGCTGTCTGTGAGGTTCCCGGCCGCTGCTGCCTGTGTGCGGGTCGAGCCAGCACCGGGGTTTTGGTGGGTTTTTTTTGTTTTTATGTGTTGTTTTTTTTTATTTTTTTTATCACACTGTTTATTCTTGCCATTT